CGCTCTCTACACAGTTTGCTTTTTCCATTCAAATCATTGGGTCCTTAGTCTACACAAATCGACCGATGCAGTGGCACGCGTACCGTGATCTACCACTCACCGCTGGGACAACCCCAGCAAGACTAGATTTCTTCACAACCGATGTCTCCATCCTCGCAGAGTCCGTCCCTCAACGTCCTTCACGATGCATCTCCCAAAGCCTTTCACCGCCCTACACCGCCCTTTCCGCCATGCCTTCCGCGATACGATCTACGAGGCGCGAGCGCCCGGGAGCTAAAGTCGCTCGCTAGCCTACAAATCCCCAGCAGGGATTCCCCAAACCGTCAACCTGCATTTGTACTCGGAGTACCAAGGAAGAAACACCATACCTGTGGGTCTACAACAACTCGGACGCTTTTGTTCCAGGTTTCTTGAAACACACATCGGACCAGCATCGGTCCACCTCGGACTTTTTATGACGCGCGCCTACAGTTACGAGCTCGAGTTTCGGCGAGGCGATGAAAAGTTCGAAAGAGATGATCATTGGACCGCCTGCCTCGTTTCGATTCCGTCTCCGTTCGTACATACGAGGCGCTCACCGCTGGTGTTCCTGTACCAAACGCCGACACACCGTGCCGATAGCGACTTCCATAGTGTTGAATGCCGGCATATGTACCAGCGCTGACAGATTTCCAGTCGCCTTGACTGGATGCCGACGCCGGTGCCAGGGATCCTGTCTGTGGGGTGCATGGTTGAGATGAGCCCCGCCGTCTCTTCGAATTCTGCAACACCACGGACTCTGATCCGACTAATCGCCCCTCTCGATCCGAAATCTAGTTGAGATGCGCGCGCGCGTACTGCCTGCCCCTATCCTCGTGCCCAATGCATGTACTTGGTACAACGAGGCTCTCACCGACTACGTCACTTCCTTTACCGTCTATGTTTGGGTATACTGCTCTCCGCGGGTCAATGCGATAGTAAGCGCTTCTGGGAAAGACTTCATCAAAATTACCCCGCTCCTCCCACACGGAAAAAAATTATGGTGGACGCGTGTTCCGCGTGACACCATCGACATGGTGCGGGAGTGCCGAGCCTGCAAGTAGTCAATCAGCTGCAATGGCAGAACAAACGTGAGGGCTGCAACAACCAGAGGAGACAGGGAAAAAGAAAAGAAGAATAAGCTTCGTCCTAAACGCTTCGTCGTAACATGTCGGAATCAGCACTTGCGTATGCCCATGCCCATTACCCCAGCTACGTCACCTGGCACACGCGTTGCACTCACGATCGTCGCGTTAAAACTCTTGTCTCTTTATTCTTTGCTCTTCGTACCCAATCACAAAAGTGCACGCAGACCCCCCTCGTTCAAGAAACGCCGTTCCAAACGCCGCGATCAATGGGTATAGTACATGCCAGATGCTAAGATCCGATGCCAATCTCATATCCAAGCATCACCTCTGTCGACGCTCCCTCCCATCCCCGATTTCCACCCGTTGAGATCATGAAGTTGCACGTTGGGTCGAGGTATAGTTGCGATATGACGCCGGTGCGGTGTCCGGGGACAATGAAGAAGGGTGTAGCGGCCGCGCCGGCTTTCGGTCCCGCGTCGTTGTGGGCGAGGTCGTAGAGACGGAGGATGTCGTATGATGCACTGGTACATGTTAGTGCTTGTCTCACGTCACGTCACGTATGTATGTGTGCGCGTGTGAGGGGGACGTGGACTTACCAAATGAGATGTCGCCCATTGGGCATAGCCCGAACTGCGCTCACTGCACCACTGACGCTGGGGAATCGGAATGTGCGTCGCGGCTCTCGTAGGCTCTTGTGCAGGCTGTACTCGTCCACTGTGCCGTTTCGCCGGCCAGCGTAGATGAAGTTGCCATCTGGTGACCAGCATGCGTTCATGCACCACGGTGGTGTGTTTCGCGGGGGTGTGATGCGGGCAACGGGGTTCGGTTGCCGGCGGTCCCAGATACGCAATGTGCCGTCCATCGACGCGTCCATGAAGGTCGTTTCAGATGAAGCAGGCTGCTCGGTCTGGTTTGCGGAAGTTGTCGTGGACTGTTCTAGATCCTCTGCATGGGGCAGACCGTTGGAAGTACCATTGAGCTGCGCATCTGTAGTTCCATTCGCTGCTGGTTGGTTCTCAGCATCTACTGGGGGTTCCTTCGCTTGTTCCGCAGCTGGCTCCTCGGGTGCTTGTACAGGACCGCCCATGTCCATCATATCCATGTCAGCATTGGCATCGTCGTCCGCTTGCTGTATACCGTTCGCGATGGCTCGAGAGAACTCGTCCTCGTCGTCGTCACCACCGAACGAAGGAAGAGTGGCCGAGAGGTTGTTCTCCTGGCCGTCGCCGAACAAAGAGTCCTGGTCCTTGTCTCCAAACAGCGAGTCATCTGGAGATCCCTGGGCATCCTCAGTACCTTCTTCTTTGGGTATCACGGGCTTTATATCGGCGCCGTTCGCGAGGGCGCCGTTGGTTCGAGGTCGGGCGGAGTTGTTGGAGGAGAAGGTGCCGTTCGAGGTAGGAAGGGTTTCGGTATCCTGAGGTATAGGTAAGGTAGACATCGGGCGTTGCTCGATTGCGGATATCTGTCCTCCACTCGTCTCAAACTTCCTCTTAACGTTTCCAGTGTTCAAGTCCCAGTCATTAATAGTCTTGTCCCAACTACCACTCAATACCGACGTCTCGTCCTGCGACAGTGTCAAGACCGACACGGCTGAGGTATGGTTCTTGAGTGTGTGTATCCGCGTTCCTTCCTGATGGCGCACCGACTGCAGGTTTATGCCTCCCGAGTCCAGACCCGACAACAGCCACAGCGCTTGGTGGTGCACTGCGAGCGAGTATACGGGGGATAAGCTCTCTGCTGCGGCGCTATCCTCATTCTCCCAGTATGAGAGAAGCACGCCCGCCTTGGTGACGGAGTCAACGAAAGGATGCCGCTGGGCCACGGTCAGAGCAAGCTTGCCGTTGGCCGTGTCTACCCAATTAAATTTTCGTATATAGCCGTCTGCGCCTCCGCTGAAGACCCATCGCATGTCTGGTGTGGCAGTAATAGCATTGATTGAGGTGCTGTGCGGTGCGGCGATGGTGGGTATGATATCGTAGATAGGCGCATTCAAGGCCTCCTGTCGCACGCTGGGGTGGAAGGGCAGGTTTCCGAGCACCCCAGAAGCGGCCGCTCGAGGGCTGGGTGATGTGAGAGTGACAGAGGGATTGCCGTCTGCTTGTCCAGCTGTACCGCCGTTGGATATGCTGTTGCGCGGTCGCTGCGAAGGGCTGTCGGGCTCGTCCTGGTCCTGATCTTGATCCTGGTCTTCATCGTCGTTGTCGTTGTCTCCGTCTGCATCGTCGTCGTCATTATCGCCGTCATCTGCATCGTCGCCCTCTTCCTCCTCGTCTACGTCCATGGCATCATTCTCCTCCTGCTCATCTTCCTCCTCGGCGGAGCCTGTTGCGCGCGGTCAGCTGGCAGCTCCTCCGAGCGTCGTGGGGATATTTACTGGCGCCATTGTCGTAGTCGTCCTCCTCATTCATTCTGTCTCCATGAGCATGGGCTAATTAGCACGTGCTCAGCGGATGCACTGCTACGTCGCGTCGAGTGGATGCGCCGATGTTCGCGTTGGGGAACATGGATGAGGCTCGGCCTCCCGAGGTCGCGTCATTCTCCCGAACGACACCATTCCCGTCGGGGACTAGCCACTTCTGGAATCCACACAGAGCTCTGGAGGTCCTCCAACCCCCAAGGCTTGATTTGCGACCAGCACGTGTGCAACGTACAACTCCGACTCGATTTTACTGGCGGATATGACTCGTGCTCTTCTTCATTGCCGGATGCTGACCGTTCGCCATAGTCGGGATCTGGATGCTGTAGTCGCCACACGCGGCAGCAGTGCCCACGGTGAATGGCATGTTACCAACTCGTATGTTTTCTCTCGCTGCAACTTTTCCATCATTTGGCAATCAAGAGCGTTCGCAAAATCTTCCTGGTATATAAAGAGCTTGTGGAAAAAGACTTGTAGAGTCCAGCGATTGTCTACTTTGTTTTCCTCTCATGTCTCATCCAGCCTGATTGTGCGACTTCGTCATCCTGAGACTATGATTTCAAATCTTGTCTTTTCATCTTGATCCATTTTTGAAATTCTTATGCCAAAAATGGGTATTACCCCTGACTCAATAGTCCGCAACCACCAAGCTGGCATCGGTGGTCAGCCTCGTTGCCCCTGCTCTTTGGCTTCTCAGATGACTTGGCCCCCGCACTTGTCGCGCTGGCTCACTCTGCTATATCTTGATAGGCTTCCCAGATGAAGTGTTATCATCGGTGCTGAGGACCCTCGTCTCCACCCTCCTCAACCATGTCAAGTCCCCACGCCTGCCGTTGTTTCGATATCTCCTTCTTCTGACCTCTCTTCTCATCAAATCCTCTTTATCTCGTTGTCTAGTTCTATCGATCGATTCATCAACTCGCCATCGCTGTGGTATCTTGCGGAGCATGATGGAGGATACTGCGCTTTTGATTGATCAGCGAGCGTTGGTCTCCACCAAAGAGAGTGATGTTCACGAGCGCGATCTGGGACCTACGCATCCCACCGAAGGAGCCAAAATCGCGTTGAAGCGTGAATTTCCATGGCTTGAGCTCATGTTTCATGCTGCAGTAATCGCCATTGTTGGTATCCTTCTGTGGATACACATCATCGGACTCTTTTGGAGGGATTTCAAGATCAAGAATCAGAAGCGGCAGAACATGGAACTCAAGGCATTTCAGGTCGCGTCCAAGGCTCACGAGTTGCTGATGCTCGCATCACTATCCATGATTGTCTTTCACTACATGCGAAGACTGCTGGTCGGGCGAAACGGTATTCCCTTCGGACTCGTCAATGCACTTCATGTCACAGGCTCGCCCAGCATGCTGTTGAAGTGGTCATTCTGGGCGGCGTGGAGGCGTCACCTCCCATTTGGAGGCTTGTTGTTTCTCACCTGTATCTTTTCGCTGACTTTAGGGCCGTCGTCAGCGATCTCAATGATTCCTTCGCTTGAGTGGTACGAGATGAAGGACGCTTTTCCAGCCAACGGCTCAACCGTCCTCTACAACGCAACTGCAGCCGAAATCTGGCCGACTGTTCTCAATAACTCAATGGACACATACGAAACTGCTCGTTGCCTCCAGGATCCATTCAGGTCACCATTAAATCTACACTGCCCGTCGGCCGGGTTCATGGATATCTACAAATGGGTATTTATCTCCAGTTTTTCGAACATATTATGTATTCAATGCTGACACCATTCAGTTTATCGGTTTCACGAAGACTGGATCACGCGATGACTTGCTCTTCACAGACCTATATGCGAGCAGCGTTCAACGGAAGGTCTCCATCAAGACTGGCAATGACCCAAAGGGCGCCTGGGCCTACACCACCGTCATCACAGAGCTGAGTACGAGAACGCTTGGCACCTTCTATAACTATGCGAGACACAACAACGCCGGTGGTACCCGGGATATGGCATATCCCCGATTGCGCATCACGGCGGACACTCCAATACACCAGCCCATCGTCTATGTGAAGTGTAGCCTCTCTTTGTGGACCCAAGTCCCGGATCGACTACGTGTCCCATTTCCGAACATCGATAGGTCACAGGCATGGGGGCAGGAGGCATTGCATCCCGAAGCTGAGACAAAATACGCCAAGTCTAACGATACTGTCTTTGATCGGCTACCGAGTAAAAACGCGAGGTTCAAATGGTACAAAAACAGCAACGGGGATTTATCATCATCGCTATTTGCGTTGGCAATCATCCCTGTCTCGGCCAAGAACCCCACAAAAGACAGATACTCATCCACTGCCGCTGTGGCATGCCCAACTGATGCAAGGTGGGTCTCTAGCGATGCATATTACCAGCCCAAGAACTCAACCACTGTCTCGAGCAACGTTTCTGATGCACTCTCCGAGACCGAATGGAAACCCGAAAAAGCACTCCTCACCAAATTGGGCATATCAGAAAACCCGCTCGACTTGAGGCTCGACTGGGCGCATTTTCTGAACCGACAGCAAAGCGAGTGGCTAGCCGACAACTCTTCCTCCAGTGTCAGTGGCATGGCCCGGTTCCTCAATACTGCCATCATCCGCCCTAAATCAGAAAAGAACAACATCACGAAGTTTTTTGCGCCTAACATCACATCCGAAGATACGGGTGGCGCGATCGAAGAAGCAATAGCTATGCTAGTGGGCACCGTGCTCGTGGACGGCATAGCGCGAAGCACATTCAGATTATCCTCTCTTGTCAAATCTAACGCCACCAACGGGGACGTAGTGACAAAATTGGAGACTTTTCTTCCTTCGGGTGAAAGGCTTTACAAATGGAAGAGCTACGTTCCCGGTTTCTACTCAGTTCGCATCACACTCGATTCCTACGGCTACGGATACGGACTCCAGAACACAGCCGTCTGGGCAGCCATGGTTATCCTGCTGCTCTTTGCGCTGATGTTGATTGTGCATGTAGCATTTATAGGCTATTCCATCGCTAGAGGACGGTACTATGGTGGCGAGTGCTGGGAGGACGTAGCGGAGCTCATCGCGTTGGCAATGAATTCGGCGCCGAGCGACAAGTTGTACGGCACGAGTGCAGGCGTGGAGCGCCCTGAGACATGGACGAGTATGATCCAGATCCAGGAGACAGGCGACCAACATCTGGAACTGTGTGTCGTGGATGGACAGCAGGAGGATGGAGAGACGGTTAAGATCGGGAAGAAGTACTTGTAACCAGAGTGTTTGCTCGTGTTTAGATTGAAACGACAATGTAGCCGAGGAAAAGGGTTTGCAGCCACAGCCTAAGACGCGATACGAAATAGTAATTGAATGGTTTGGGCAGAATTTCTTTCCAGTACTCCGATGTGGTGGCTTCATAAGTAGGAAATTCTTATTTACATTTAGAATATGAGCGTCAGTAGATATAGCTCCAACCTTTTATCGGCAGGATGAAGAGATCGAGCGTCTGGGTCTGCCGGTACGGATGGTGATCGTAGAGTCCCGCTTCCAATATCACGGTACAGCACCGGGATAGCCAATATGTTGATACTGGCGGCTCGTTGCGATAGTTATTTTTGACACCAACAAAAAGACGCATTGTCTGAGTAAGGGAAATTTGGCGACCGTCGGTACTTACAGCAAATTCTTGCGAAGTTGCTTGACTCAAGTAGTAGGCGTGTCGACGCATGGGGCCGCTTCCCCGAACTTGCGGATTCAGGCCGCCAGCGAGGCTGACCGGCCAGCGGCCCCCATGGCCATGAGGCAGCCTGGCAACCTGTCCTTGGGTTTGAAATTTGCGGCTGAGTTCAGTGCGACAGAGCTTGTGTCAGTTGGTGTTTCTAAACATTGGGAAGAGAAGAAAGGCGATGTTGATGAGATGTCGGTAAAGAGCCGCAGAGCCGCGCGGGATGCGGGCACCCGCAGACACCCCGCTTAAACTGCCTAGGGTGGGCCTCTGCAAAATCATTCAGCGCGTAACTCATCGTTTGGAAAAACAAGGTGCACGGTGATATGGACTATGGGAACACTTGTAAGTTCGACCGGTGAGAGCGTCGTGTTCGTGGTTCTACCTAGGAGGCAAATGATGACATGCCGCCCCACGCCACTCCTCTACGCTTATCGTGCCGCAACATAGGCATACGCCTTATGCTCCTTACATTTTAGCAACCCCAACTCCTTTAACCACTCAAAAAGGATCGCGATGCCGGTTCTTAAGCTTGTGCCACGTTCCACGTCTGTTGCACTGCCCTACGCGCCGGGGCATGGTTGGTCTAGAGCGGCGTGATTGGATTCCCGACCCATAATCCTGTAGCCGCCGAAGACACCTCTTGCATGGTTTCATAGCCAGGCTGGTGCGGCGATCATGCAGGCTTCACGACTGCGCCGCAATATTTGCTCCGACCATGTACTGCATATGCCCGAAGGTCGCACTCCGCGATGAAGCACTAACTTCCACATCCTCTCACGTTCTGCGTGTATGCGAAACGTCAAGTGACTCCCCAACCATGGCGACACCCACACCATCCCCTACATTGAATCGTTTCAACCTGACGACCACTCAAGAGGAGAATGCAATCGAAACAGACTTGGCTCTTCCCGGCATCAAACGTGGTATTGCCATTGGAGTAGCGTGTTCGGTGTCGGTCGTCGTTATCGCTATTCTTGCTTTCTTTGCGATCAGACGAAGAAACCGTGTGCTGGCTCGGAAAGCACAACTCCAGACCACAAAGAAAGAGTCGATGGATGCCGAAGCAGGATTACAGGAGAAAGCTTGGTATTCTACGCCCGTGTCGTCACCACCGCTGCCAACACCTCCACCACCACCTGTTGAAGCCGATGCTCGAATTATCTACGAATTAGATGCAGGCCAGATACCAGAACTGCATGGTGATACAGCTGCGCAAGAAGTAGAGGGAAATGGCAACATTCACGCCACGTCAGAAGCGGAAGAACTGTACGTTCGAAAGCTCGAACAATGGAGGACTTGGAGCATGGCACTGGAGCCGAATACCACGAGCCATACCACAGAACCCGTACGCGCTCCTGTACCGCTGCTCATGGTCTCACCACCTGAAGCTTCTCCTGGTGGAGTCTCGCCGTTGCAGCGCTTGTCGAGAGACTACACCCCGCAAGACGGTTCGCCAGTATCACCGCCTCCAAATGTTCATTTTCCATCGGTTCATCGCGAGTACACCAACCATTGAGAGAGATTTCCAAGATCTGCTTCGCCGCTAGGAAAGTGCGAAAAAAATGTGTTTTGATTCATAACGACATAAGATGCTAGCGGACCGTCAACACGACGCCTTCTTATCCTCGATGATCTTCGAATCGATATGGTACTGGCCGTCTTCGTCATCGATTGGCGAGTCCGGGAAGAGTCGTTCCCCACTGCCTTTCTTTTCATCGGTTGGAAGGACTTCGGAACCTGGTAATTCTGCAGCAAAGAGACGCCGGTCACCAACGGCCTCCACGGGAACAACAGGACTGGCGAGTTCAGAAGCGCTCTTCTCGCTATTACACCCAGCCTCCATCTCCGCTGGCCCGAGGGCTCCACATCCGCTCCCCTTCGTCGCATTCTCCAAGTCGTACGAACTTTGTGACAGGGTGCTCTTCCGGCGTATTTCAGCTCGTCTTCGACGCACGCAAAACCAGCCTCCCAGTAAAAGTAGTATGATAGCAACGGCGACTGCTGCGCCGATACCAGCGCTCGCGCCAACGCCCAGACCGCCATTTCCAGATTCTAAAATTGCGGGCGCTGAAGCAGAGGTTTGCGTCGAGGTTGAAGAAGGAAGAGAGGTCGGGGAAGATTGTGATGCATCGGCCGGTGATGGTCTCCCGGGAGGACCCGGTGTTGGCGGCGTTGGAGTTGGTGCAGGTGTAGTTGAGCTCACGTCGTCATCGTCATCATCGTCCTTGTCCTTGCGGTCTTTCTCTGTCTCGGTCGGGAGCGGCACAGTCGGGTCTGTGGATGTCGACATTGTGGATATCACGATGATAAATGTATAGTAAGAAGACTGTCAGAGCACACGTTGACAGTTGTACAGTAGAGTAAGCTTCTAATGACCAAGTTCAAATTTACCTCCAGACTCATTCGCACTTACTACACCCCACATACATATGAACATCAGCGTCCCAGGGCAATGGGCATCGACGACGACACCTCACCCTTGTTTTCGCGTTCAAGCATCGGCAGAGTCGCGGCACCCATCGCTCATTCGCAGACGGCCCTAATAGCGCGTCGTTTTCGCCGGCTCAGCCTCGTCTCCTCACCAAAACTTCGGTCAATTGTGATCTTGGCCTTACTCGTTACAGGCCTGAGTTTTTCGTGCCTTGCTGTTGGATCTTGATAGGCCAATTATCTCGAAGCTCCCCATGTAAGATGGGAGACGCGTCCTTCGGGGCTCCGCTGTGCTGTCGAGTTCGCCAAGCTGCGGAGGCCATCACCGCGCATGTGGTCATCAGCTACCGAATTATTCGACTAAGATTTGGAACGATCTTGCGCATAGAGTGATAACTTTGTCTGTGTGGCGAGTGTTATGTAGTGGTGTGCTTCGGGCTGCACAGTATGTATGTATGCAGGACCTCTACGTGCGCTCTTGGGAACTAAGAACAACTCACGGGCCAGCGGCTACATAATGCAAAGCTAAGAGCATCGACCCAGGAATTGTAATTCGAGAGGTTGGGCCTAAGTCGAAAGTTTTACCATTCGTGGACAAGCTGCTGCACAACACGTGGAGTCTCAGGCATCGCTATGATCACGCCGATTAGGTTCACGATATTGGGTTCATAGACATGCGCGCAAATTGCCATGAGATGCACGACACCTATCTCTTTCGAGGAAAAATGGCGACCTGACGGCGGCGAGATGGTTCAAGTCCGTGCTGCGAAGCGTGCGAGATCAACATGTCGGCACCATCGGAAGCGAGTCCGTCCCGTCCGCGGTGCCTCCTTCATCCTCCCCGCCCCATCGCGTTGCACGCCGTTCAACGTGCCTCAACGCCGTCGGTCGCTATATTCAAATGCTCCTCGTCTCTACTGATCATACAAACCGAATGATGCCCAAGCGACGATTTTTTCTACGAAATCTTTGACGCCGCGCGTCTTACTGGACTCTGGAGCGGGCTGCAGACTGCAGCTCTCGCAATCGCTTTGCGGGACGCATCTACTGTGAGATTTTGCGGTACACCCAAAGTTTCGAGTACATTAGCACGTGTTCTATGTACAGGGACAAATGCCTCGGGATGCTGCTGATTCGCTACTTTCATCTGAGTAAGCAGGGGCCATGGGAAGTACCACTACCATCGTAGTGCCCGCGGAACCCAGCTGGTCGAGAACTCCTAGGGGGAAGAAACTAGATCGACATGAGTTATACTTTCAGCCATCCCCAAGATAGTTATCATTACCGCATAGAATATTGTGCCATCTCGAGACCACAGTGGACTAAAATCGATCTTTGGTGGTGCGCTCATACACTCGCATCAGCCTCTTCCGCGGGATGAATGCCACAGGGTCTCTTCGGTGGCATACTACCAATCCGATAAACTATGATGCGGCTCCTCTGGATGGTCGATCAGCTACATTGGTGCCTGCGCCTGCTCTTGCAGGTGATGGGGACGAAGAGGCCGTCAGCTAGCGCAGAGCGGCACACCCGCACTTCTTCAATAGCGCGACATTTGAATGGGGAATCCCTTCGCCATCGTCCGAGTAATTGCATCCTGAAGAGGTGGTCTGGCGAAACAGAACCATACAATGGCAGAGGTTGGCAAAGAATCATGATACGTCGACGGCGCGCCTGAAACCAAACACCAGAGATCCAAAGGTCTGGAAGGAATGTTGCTTTTCGTTCCGGATTCATGTTCAAGCATTAAGAGCTAGCTCCACATGTCATTTAGGGTTACCGGTCTGATGGAAGAGTCTAATGATGCCGCCCAAAGTCCTGACGAAAGATGCGCCACAACGGCTGACCGAGAGATAATAAGGGGATCCACCGGGTCTATTGCGCATTCATCGTGCATATCTCACAGGCCACTCGCCCCCGTGAGACTACGCCGGTTGCGGCCCGACCTCTACGTACATTCATATGCCTTCGGGCTCCTCTACACAGATTGTTGCGGATCTTATCTTCATTCTACATTGAGACCACTGAGACCTTGCATTATGGCAAGCCAGAACTCCAACCCCAACGCGGACCCTATGTTCTTCGGTGGCATAGAAGTCGACATCACCCAATTCGATTTCAGCGACCATACTACGAAGGTCAACAGTCTCACCATAACATGCGCAGTCTTCATCGCTCTAGTGGTGTTGACCGTCGGTCTCCGGCTCTTCGCAAGAGCGAAATACGTCGGCCATATCTTTATAGACGACTGTATGCGCCTACCCATTCCGTCACAAACGTCCCAGCTAATGTGTAGCAGTCCTTATCATTTGCGCCGCCGTCTTCACTGTTGCTCTGGCTGCAGTGTGTATCGCTGGTAAGCAGCAAATACTTCGAGTGTGAACTTCATCTGATGATGTGACAGCAACTCAATATGGCCTGGGACGACACATTTGGCTTCTGCCCATGTTGACCCTCTTCGACACCTTGAAAGACTGTATCTTGGTAAGTACCAACCTTTCTTTGGGTGTCGTATCCTGGCCATGGCGATGCGTCGTTATCAGAATTGTCCTAACTATGGAGCTGGCGCTGTCGAGCTGTCACAACTAACGCGCTCTAGTACCTCTTCATCTGCCAGATCCTCTACGCCTTTGCTATTGCATTGACGAAGATCGCCATCATATCGTCGTACCTGCGTTTCATCCAGGACAGGACTTTCCGCATCTGGATGTACGCGATATCTGTGCTCATCGTCGGTCTATGGATTTCAGGTAAGATGAACCAAGTTCCCGACAAATGACATGTGCTGAAGTAATCTTAGGAATTTTCGTCACCATCTTCCAGTGTCGTCCCGTGCAAGGAGCGTGGGACTTCACTCTCGAACCAGTGTGTGTCGACTACGTCACCTATCTATACGCCAGCTCCGCCGTTAATGTCGCAACGGATCTCCTCCTTTGCGCGCTACCCGTGCCTCATATTTGGAGGCTGAAGATGCCAAAGAGGCAACGAATCGTCCTATGTGTGCTACTGGCAGGAGGTGCAAGGTATGTGTGAACTGCAAATCATCGGACTTTGCTGACTTTCCATAGCGCAAGCATATTGGGCATCGTCCGTATCGCCTTCTTGAATCGTTTACGCGTCCTAGATGTTACCTGTAAGTATTCTCTTGAATCAAGGTTCATGGTGCAAGGCTTTTTCCGAACATCAGGCACAGCACGAACTGCTATACCTACTGGCAGACAGACCCGCGTTGATATCAGCTATTCTACTCGGACATATCAGCTAACAGCCATACAGATCAAAGCGTCGAGTGCGTCATCATGTCAGTAGGCGAGTGCAGCCTAGGCATCATCTCCGTCAGCATTGCTGCTCTTCGTCCGATGGCACGACAGTTCTTTCCCAACGCGATGCGAAACTCTCCCTCTTCCTCGTCCAAGCCACGCGACGCAGGGCACGTTCGCCTCGAACGCATACCCACAAGCCAGGACAAGGATCAGTTCACATCGGAAAGCAAACAAGACCTGTCAGGTTCATACAGGTCGCATACACAAGCATCCGTCTAGTCATCCGTGTACAATTTAGACAGTGTTTACAAATCTCCATACCGATTTCCATCTCGCCTCCCGTCTTCAAATGCTGCAATGTCGATGTAACACTGTCAGGTTACTAGGAATGGTTGAATGATGGAATGGTGACTTCGGGAGTCTTCTACGAACGTAGCACAGGTAATGTGAGTTTCATTGGGAACTGACGGTCCAGTGAAGCTTGAGTTACCAGTGCTGCGTCCATATTGCTGACTGCGTTCCTGACTTGAAAGAAAAACAGGAATCACAGAAGTACTTGGAGACTGTCAAGCTCTTGAGGCAGGCGACCAAGAGCGGGACGGAACGCCTTGTTCAGCTGACCGCCAAGAAAGCCAAGTCGTCAGCCCAATCTCGCGCTTTTCCATGACTGGCTAAACAACGGTTGTGATTGGGCCAACACCTCACGACGTCACAGACCATTACCAGAATCGCATCAAGCTGAAAGCAGGCTGTGTTGGCGATCTTACCATCGCGTGCAGGCTGTGTACAGCCTTAAGGCGTCCACGGCGTAATTCATGAAGCACACCGCTTATGGCTTGAACACATAAATGCGATGCGTCGCGCCTCCTTTCTACGTGCATACAACTCATCAAATCTGCCTCAAGGTTACACCAAATACTCATTGCGGCGACTCATCTATCAACCAGTCACCCTTAATATACTCATCAGTCTATAAAACCCCTAACTCGACTTCACCATCTCCTTCACAACTCTACATCTCCAAACACAAACTTGCAAATCTACCTCAAACACCACCACCATGAAGTTCACAGCGGCAACCACTCTTCTCCTCGCGACAGTTGCGCTCGCCAACCCAGCACCCGTCGCCAACCCAGACGCGGTAGCTGAACCCGCACTCATCGGATCTCGCGCCCAATTCCGCGAAGCGCTTGCCGCACGCGACACTCTAGTCATGCCAGAAGTTCAACTCGAAGAACGCGCCAGCAGCAGCGGCGGCAAAGGAGGCAAGGGTGGAAAGGGCAGTGGTGGAAAAAACAACACCGAAAGCGCGGCGTCTGACATGCTTTCACCAAGTCGCGCTCTGCAGATCACTGCACTGGGTCTGGGTGTTGTGGAGGTTGTCAGGCTCTGGGGTTAGACCATATCACGACATATGGAGTTTTATGAACACAGGGGAAGTTGACGGTCAACGTGGGGAAGGAGGCAAGCGGGGTTTGATGTGGTTACGACACTTTACCGAGCGATGGATTTATGTTTCGATGGAGTATAATATGGAGTTCGATACCACGGCATTAGGAAATCAATATTGGAGTTCACAACACCACAATTTCCCGGACACAGGCCGCCTAGCTTAAGGCGCCCGCTACGTCACCCCGCATGAGTGATACAGCAAGCAAGCTTCCACTTCTGACACGACAAGTTCAAGCACTGGGCTACAATCATTGATGACGATGATACTAGCTCGCATGAGTGGACTCAATGTCTGGTCAACACCGAGTAAAGCAGTTGATGTAAGGGGCGATCGACTCAGTAGAAAGGCATAGCCACAGTGTGGCGGTGTTGATCGGATGACAGACTGGATATTGCTGAGATGATCAGTGCACAGCCACAAAAAGCTGAGAGATCAGCAAATGTAACAAGCTCGAAGGAGTTCACCATATGCAGATCAAAGAGTTTGAAGTATGAAGAGTAAACATTAACACTGGTATCTGCCGCGGCCTAAACGCTAGAAATGAAAAACGCCGTGCAAATGCTATGCCCCAAACGCTACGCTATGCTATCGGATCGAAGAGAACCCAAAACACTTTTTGTTGCCATGAAGCAATGTTTACAAGAACTTGTTGATCATCTTCTTCCAGCCACTGGCGGAAGATTCTTCCCAGGTCTCGCTAACCTCGTCCTCGAACTTTCCAGTGAGGAGATCGGCTTCCGCGGGGTTGATGAATTTGCTCCTGGTAATGAGCTTGTGTCCAATGTAAAGTACGGCGAACAGGATCAGACTGATGTATGCGATGAAGAAGTCCTCGACGCTCCATGGGACGAATGCGGTGAAACCTTGGGTGATGGTGATGATGGCGCAGAAAGTGACACCGTAAATGGCGAGTGGGCGGCCACCCCATGACTTGAATGGGAGAGTGTCACGGTCGATGTTCTGAGCCTTGAGTGCGCGCATGAAGCTGATGTGGCAGATCAATACACAAGTCCAGGCGATGAAACCTGCGACGGAGACGATGTTGAGGAGCCAGTTGAAAGCCTCTCCACCGTTGGCGCTAAGGTTCATGTAGGCAAGCAGACCCATGGCGGCAGTGACTGCGGTCGCCCAGTATGGGACACCTCGCTTGCTGGTAGCCTTGAGGAACGCAGGGGCACACTTCTCCTCCGCAAGACCGACAAGAATACGGCTGCCTGAGTAGACGTTGGAGCTTGCGGCTGAGAGAACGACGGTGAGCAGGATGGCGTTGAAGATATCGGGAAGAGCGGAAACTCCGGCGAGCTGGAAAGCAATAACCATAGGAGATGAACCGGCGTTGGTGTCACCAATTTGAAGAGCCTCGTTGTCGTAGGGGACCAGAATGCCAACGAAGAAGATTGTGAAGACGAAAAGGGTGAAAATGCTCCAGAAGGTCTTTCGGATAGCTGAAGGCATGGTAACACGGGGGTTCGCAGACTCTCCAGCACCAATAGCGCAGAGCTCAGTACCCTGGTACGCGAAACCAGCCTGGATGAGGACAGCCCAGAAACCGACGAATTTGGCAACAGGGCCCTCGGCAAGGTATGGAGCGAAAGCACCGGGAGAGTTCCAGTACTGGAAGCCAATGTAGCCTTGTGCGCCGACACCAGCGTTCATGCAGATGGCGTAGATCCAGAAACCGACAAGGGCAACGACCTTGATGAGAGCAAACCAGAATTCGAATTCACCGAAAATGTCAACGGGCAAGAAGTTGACGGCGGTGATCGGTACCCAGAAAATGGTGATGAAGATGCCGATGCTGAGATCCGAGTCCCACCATTGGATGATAAGTCCAGCGGCTGTGAGTTCGAGTGCGTAGGTGATGGACCACGAAAACCAGTAAATCCAGCCCATGGAGAATCCTAACGAGGGGTCGACGAAGCGGGCAGCGTACTGTGTGAAAGCACCAGAAATGGGTAGGTAAGTAGCCATCTCAGCCAGACTGAGCATAACAGAGTAGACCAGAGTACCGACGAAAACGTAAGCCAGGAGCGCACCGGCGGGACCAGCAGTAGCGATGGAGCCTCCGCTAGCAATGAAGACACCGGTTCCTACTGTGCCGCCGATGGCGACGAACTGCAAGTGTCGGGATGAAAGCTTGCGCTGAAGCTCATCCTTGGGGGGAGCGGCCTGCTTCTCAACGTCGCTCGAAGAGTGTGGGACCGACTTGTCCGACCGCTGGTCCATCTTGGGCGTGATCTCCTCAGAGGCGGATGCCATATTGGTGGTGGTATTGGCGAAGGACCCTGGGGTGGGGCTTGAGGTTCAAAGTAAGAACAACAACGACGAAGCTGTGATGTATACGATAGATGTCAAGTGCGCAAGAGCCAGGGACGAAAACGATATTTCAATCAAACCACGGTTACCCACCACTCCAGAAAGTGGAGTCATCGCGCAAGACTCCATGAGCCATCATGTTAGCCGTCGGCGTACTCCACGCTCTGGAAAGCCAATCGACCGTCCAAATTTTCATCGTCGGTCCACTTGGCGGGCAACAGAGTCGTTTTGCCGCGCAAGATGCAGAAGTTGAACCGTGACAGTAGCATGATCGAAATTTTCGAGCCAGGATCACGTCGGCTACGAGCGGGTCGGCGCCGCCAGTTCGCGTCGCCTTGAGCGCGACAGGCCAAGCGGCAATGCTTATCGCGGGATTACCGTGTGGAATGTGTACCTTTGCCGTTCCGTATGTTCCCAGCAGAAAAATTCTGCAGCTTAGCAGTATCTTTTTTGGGGAACTTTGTGGCGGCGGACGCGTTTCGGGAATAGCGAGAGGGCCGGCCCTTCATCGGGTCGCGGCCTTGGCGGCGAGCGTGTCAGACTTCATCCATCGGGAAACCTCATCAGGCCTATCATGACTCCGTCGCATGTCACCGCATTCAACTCACCCCTTTCCCCAGCCGGCGGTTGTAGAGACCTGCTTTGGTCATGCTGAGTCAAATGCCGCAGACTTGTATTTGCATGGCTTGAAAGCACATCATGCTCTATTTAGGTAGTGTTGTTGCGAGATTTGCGCGACTTCCACAT